CCCGCCAACGCCCACCATCAACACCACCGTGCCCGCGGCTCCATCGTCACCACCATCCGCCATCGTCACACGGGGGAGAAAGAGAAAAGGGAGGAGAAGAACGGAGGTGAAGATAAAGCTATAGATGGATCTGCCAGATCTAGGAGGAGATGGATAAGAAAGGAGAAAGGGGAAGAAAGAGGAAGAGGAGGGAGAGCCACTATGAGATCGAGAGATAGAAGAGAGGAGGGGTGCCACTATGAGATCGAGAGATAGAAGAGAGGAGGGGTGGGGTGGGGGAGGAGAGGAAGTCGAAGAAGAGGAAGGGAAGAAAAAGAATGTAGATCTGATCTGGAAGGAAAGAAAGAAGAGAGAGAGGGGGAGAGAGGAGTAAAAGAGATGGGGGGTGATGGAGAAAAAGGAGGAGGGAGAAAAAAAGAAGAAAGAAGAGAGAGATTTGATGGGAGGAGTATTTTTGGGACATTTGGGGTTAAATTTAGAAATGAAAAGATTAATTACGGACGGAGAAAAAGGAGAAATATGAAGATTATTTCCGGACGGAGGGAGTACAAGCTACTCACAATTCTTCTATAAATGAAAAGCAGAATCTTTTCTTTTTTGCAGAGAAAAAAATGTAAAATATTTTCGATACTTAAATAAAATAAGTTGATGAAAAAAATATCATATGATTGGAAAAATGATACAGACAAGAGAGAAAAACAAAAACAAAAAAGAGACCGTCGTTAATTCAAAAGATGTGGATCGAGCAATAATAATCTGATAATAATGAACATAATGACATAATGTATTTATATCTCTTTGGTAATGTTGTTTGAAAGCAATAAGGGCTTTGTCGTATATGGTGCAAGTATTTATGAATGTCGCAGTCGCATAAGAAACGATAGATTTACTCATCCCTAGCTAGCCTCCTCCTCTTCATTCAAACTAAATTAACTTCTCTTTGTCTCCCCCAAAGTAAAGTACGTTTTTTTTAAATGTCCCATTAAAGATGATAATAGTACTTGGCATTCATGTTGAAAAGTGACTTTCTTTTTAACAAAAAATTTAAAGGGTGTCTCAAAATTATTTCCCACATTCTGTTTGTGCATTTCAATCAATGCCTTCTCGTTTTGTGCTATTAAAAAAATAAAACAGGTGGATTATCTTCATCAGATTTAACATTTTCATGCATACCCCTGAGAGTCGCAGTTGTTTGAGCATTTCAATTCTTCCTCTTTTGCTTATAACTTGCTTAAACCAGACCCCAAATACCCTCTGGACCACAGACATTTAGACATGTCCAAACAAAACAAGAACCCTTTTACGTACTAAAATCATTCGAATAGTACCATAAAGATACAGACCCAGACCAGACCAGCCACCAAAGCCAAAATGATTAGGAGACTAAGATATCAAATTTACTGGCAAAGAAAACAACATATCTGAATTACTCTCTGTTACAGAATACAGAGGGAGTAATATAATAAACTATGCTATAGGGGCACAGGTGTTTTAATAAACAGTTACAAATGTCTAGCAATCTACCACCAGAGCATGAAAAATAAACAAATATTATGACTAAACTGGACACCAGGGCAGTTAGCAGAAGTTTCTTCTACAGTACATTTGTGGGAACTATTGTTGCCGATAATATATAAACACACTAAATTTAATCTACAAAAAAATAATAATAATGGTTGCAAATCTACCCCCACCCAAATACAAGTTAACATTCTTACTTCCCAGCATGTTCTTATCTAGAAGCTGCTTCTTTATAGCGCGGTCTACATTTTACTGTACTAGTGGCAACTTTGGCAAAGCCATCACTTTTCTTGAAAGCTTCTATGGGTAACATTGACTTCATGAACTGAAACACACAAGCTTGGCATCAATGAGGCACTTGATCAAATGGGTGAAACAACCGTGTGGGGCATCCAAACAATGACCTTCCCAAAAACCAAACAAACCCAGAGGTTTGGGGTGAGTGAGATGTGCACGGACCTTAACTCTACGCCAGATATGTTTGCAGAAAAGAAACCAGAAAAATAAATGATAAAGCAAGAAACACATTCACCTCACGCATAATACATATACAAGCTGTTTGCAGCAGCACATGCAATTGAATTTTCGGTTGGATGCCATGCGAGATGGAGCAGTTTTGTGCTGAAATCAAATGTGTTCCCATTTGCATCTCCAATGGGACTTTCTGCACCTGTAATAAAATCATTCCATGACTGCAGTCTCTTTGTAAAAGAAACTATAAGCTTCTTTGCATGTGGTCCTTGATAATATCAATGGAGCTTTTGGTAAGTCAAAAGCAATTTTACAAGTGCTTTTAAAATGTAGGAAAAACAATACAAACCAAGTGCTTTAAAAAGGTTGGGGGAGACCAATTTTTCAAAGAACAATTTTAAAAGGTTGGGGATGAACAATTCTGGAAGAACAATTGTATCTTAGAGATGGTGATTTTTAATGAAGAATACTCATTTAAAAACATGTGCTTTTATAGGAAGACAAATTTACAAAAAGAAAAAAAAGAGTGTTAGACATGCAGATGAATAGAATACTTGAAATTTTGTGCTTCTTTCACAAACATGTGTTTTATGGAAATTCCAGGGAAAAAAACACTTTGTAACTGTATTGGAATTTTTTAGTGCTTTTTGGTAGATTCTCATTTAGTAAGCAGAGCCGCTCAGGTGAAGGCACTTTTTCTTCTAATGTACAATTTAAACAAAAGCACATCCATAATGCAAAGAAATGAATATGCCGAATTGCGGACCTCGCCTGCCAGAGAGAGTAATGCTACTGCTAGGGGATCTTGAGGGTCTTGAAGGGGTCTGGGATTGCCGCCTGGATGAGCATAGTCAGAGGTTGAACAAGAAATAGGAGAGAAAGAAACACAAAAGAATGAATGAGACAGAAATAGATGGGAATAAAGAGAGGTAAATAACTTCTCGCTTTTCTTCTACCTTTGAGAGAAGTTTATAAGTGGGTCTTACCACTTCCCAATTTCTTTCCTCTCAATTTCTTTCCTATGCCAAACAAGAGAAACCAAACAATTGTTTTCTAACCCTTCCCATATCATTTATTTCTTTCCCACTTCTACTCTACCAAACAAAGGGTAACTATCAAAATAAAGCAAAACATAGCCTTCAGCCTGATGTGTCTAACACAAATACCTCATGGGATTTTTACTTGCTTCTAGTGTTGTTGCTTCGACACTTCCAGCGGCACAGCCAAAAACGCGGAAAAGGTTACTGAAGCAGCAACATTTACTCAGATACCAAAGAAGCAACACAAAAAGTAAAAACAATGGGAACAAGAGCAGGAAAAATGCATATTATCTGGAGTATAGATACCTATATGATCCTGTAGCTACTCGCAAGCCATCACCACTCAAGCAGCACTCAAATTTATCAAATATGGAATCATTCTCGTACAAATCACAAAGCTACAAGTCATCAAATTGTACACTGTTTAATCAGCATTCACTGAGGGTAAAAAAAGAAAATTTTAGAAAAGAATAATAATCTTCGACTAATGAATAATTCACCTTTGGTCTTAGATGTTCGTGAACCTGGAAACTAGCAACTGGACCAGAATTCATATTTACATCCCACAGCTGGTAAGCCAAGTATAAGTCATTAAGTAAATAGCACAAAGAGTGGCAGTAACATTGATATAAAAGTTGTTTCAAAACAATCATTTCAGAAAATAAAGACAAAATTATTAGCATAGAAATAAGTATGAAACATCATTGAATAGCAGAAATTAAGCACACCCACACCCACACTCACACACATGCAAACACCCATCCTAGGAGCATGTAAGCATAACTCACACAAAATAGTAATAAATAAACAACCTTAAGAGTCATGTAATCGCGACCAAGGATATATCTTCCATCCTTTGCAAATTTAATGTCAGAAATTGAAGCAATGATCTCGGTAAAGAAAGATCTCGAACCAGGTGCCTCATGTTCCTCGAACCTAAAGGCGCATAGAGGAGTGGTTCAGATATGTATGAATGAATCTATTCAATAAGACTGTTTAAACTTGGTATAAACTTCCTTCATTCTCAAATAAATGTAACGTAAGGAAAAAAAGTCATGTGAGACCTTTTTAGATCCGTCTTGGTATAAACTTTCATAATATCGACTTTTTATAACTTAACTAAAACATTATAAAAACATTAATGATTTAATGTGTGCATTGGTAAATGTGCCAAGTCTAGTATGTATGTATCTACGCTCACCATCCTGCAACAAAGGTTGTGCTTTGAATTAATGGAGTTCAAGAATTAGGTTGAAATGCGAAAACTGTGTGGTAGGAATGTGTTTAAAAGAGAAATGTTATGACGCATGTATTCCTTCCCTAAAAAGGAAATGAGAGAAGAATAAATTTTATTTTTGGACAAAGAAAAAGTGTAAGCCTTGTTTCCGGGCGAATGGAGTATAAAAAACTTTGCATTCACTAACTGTTTTTTTTCAATTTTCTAGATAACTGTTTTCGATTTTGAAGAATGAAAACTCAAAATCATATATAGCACTATCACTTGCAACGTTTTTTCAGCTGGAAAATGGGAAGAAATATCATGTTTGACCTTCTATTTCTATATTTTGGAGAAAATTCTTTCTTTTCTATGCCTCCATTTTGAGAATAAAGAAGGGTTACAAGGATGTAGAGGCAATTTCTAATGTAAACCCACCCTTCATCTACAGGAAGATACAATGCCACATTTATTATTTTTCCCTTTTGCTTGTCTTTCTCTTTCCTACTGGTTTCCTTTTTTAATTTCTTTTTTTTAACTTTATAAAATCTAATGAACTTTATTTATAACTTAACGTTAATTAGTTATATATACCCATTATTCATTTACCTTGTTTTCTTGCTTCATTAAATCATTACTTATTTGTGTCCCCTACTCACATCACTTCTCATTGTAATTCCGAGATTCTTGAAAACAGTCTCCAATCATATTCCCTGGTGTAAATGGAAACAGTCTCTAATCCTATTTCCTGGTGTAAAGGTAAGGTCAGTAGTCAGCTTATATTTTGTCCCCTAGAATGCTAGAGCCTACTTATGACTTATGAGTGAGGTTTACTACGTATGTTTGGTTTAATTGACAGTTAACAAGAATATATAGTTAAAGCCACCGACCCAACGGATTGGGATTAAGGTGTGATAATGATTTTATGATAAGTGTGTAATGTTGACTTGTTTTGATATGGTTCACTTTTTAAAAGGGCGTGACTATAAAAATACTCCACTTTTTAAAAGAGGGGAAATAATGTGGTCAATAAAGCTTTGGGACAGTAAAAATAAGAAGCAACAAAATTAAGAGAGGGAGTAGAAACTATCACAACTCATTGTTGCCTCAAACAATTTTCAAGCAAATGGAAAATATTTATGATGATGACGGAACTGAATATGCATTTCTTTAATCAATTTTTTAGAAATATTCTACATAAACTCATAAAGAGCATGCATACCCACATAAACTTTGCTACTATGCCTTTTCTATGAGTTTAGTGTTAAATACTTTTAGATAGTTGGTTGACACTAAATTACTCCGTACATGTCACGACTCCATACTTAGGATTTAAGTGATGGCAGTTTAATAAAATATGCACCTTTTTAAAATCACTGCCACTAAAATATTAAATGTGTTTCATTTAATAACATTTTGAAAAAGAGATTTTGTTCTCAAAATTATGTTTTTCGTTATTCAAATTGGAAAATGAGTTTGAAAAAGAGGTGACAGTAACCATGATATTTAGTTTTCATGTTGAATGGTGACAACTCAAGAATGAAAATTGGAGAGTGAAGTAATTCAGCCAAAGTCTCCAGAAGAGAGGGGCCATGAAACTAGTAGAAATACTCACAATTTAGCAGGTGAATCACACAGTGCCGATTGCCGTAAATCTATGAGACGTATTGATCCTTTTGAACTACTATAAGCTAACATATTACAGTGTGTCGGGTGAAACTCGGCTGAAGTTATCACCTCTGCAACAACAAACAACCTCTAGTTAAGGTACAAAGTGTATGTCATTACAAAACAAAATCAATAGAAGTTTATTCCTATTTAATGATTATGAATATAAGGAGACTCTTGATGGTAATAAAACACATTTAAGCAATTCTGGCATCTTCGAACGAAAAATGACTTTTGGAAGTTGATGTGATTAATTTTCAAAAGAACTTGGCACTGGAAGTGCTTTGCACTTTGCAGCATATTGAAAAAACATTATCAGACATAAAATATTGTCAGAAATTGTGAGCAAAAAATACTCGCTACTTTCAATCATTAGTAGCTTGTAAGCAGAAATAAACATTTTTAATAGGAAAAGAAAGCTAAAGCTGAAAAACAAGTAGGTATTAAATCCATATTCATAATCCATGGATGAATAGGAATTTAAAATTAACTTGTGAAGCTCACCTGTAAGGTCTTCCATATTTGAGGGCTTCATATCAACAATATTGAAACTCTGGCTGCTTATTTCCAAATTCCAAAGATTTATCCGCAGATCATCGGCTGATATAAATGTTTCACCATCACTGAGTACCAAAAAAAAGGAATTAGCATAACTTCTTTCTCAAAAAATTGTATTCGAGATAATAACAGCTAGACAACATAAAATTGTATGATCACCTGTTATTTGATATGGAATTTATATGGTAGTCATGGGCATGAGCATACACTCTTCTACACCTTGCAACAATACTAGTCTCAGCACTGGAAACCTGTAAAGCATACTCGTAAAATTGGGGAACAAAAAAGAAAGGAAAATAAGTTTTCAGAATAAAATAAACAAGTCACAACAAAAGAAAAACATCCTCCATATTTAACAACTCATTCCACTCCCATCCCCTTCTGCAAAAATAAAATAAAATAAAATAAAATAAAAAGAAGAAGAAGATGGAAGGTTTTAACTTCACAGGGAAATGTGATGAATTTATTCTCTGAGTGCAGCAACAATTTTTTTTTCTGGAAGAACACTATATAAATGTCAAGGAACCAACTCAACCAAAAGCTCAAGCTTTTAGTTGTGGCCCAGGAATGATTATTATATACTCTAACACGCCCCCTCACGTGCAGGCGTGACCTCTTTGAGCCTTGCACGTGAAACCTTAATTTTTTTAAACTGGATGGCGGTGAGTTTCGAACTCGTGACCTCTTGGTCATCAAGGCTCTGATACCATGTCAAGGAACCAACTCAACCAAAAGCTCAAGCTTTTGGTTGTGGCCCAGGAATGATTATTATATACTCTAACAATAAACAAGCATGAATCCATGCAAGTATATATAGTGAATATGCAAATATCTGTATGTGCAAGTAAAAGGAAGTTTGGAAACGAACATATATAAACACATACAAATGTGTCCACAGGTGCATATACTTGTAGATACACATGAATACTGTGCATATGTTAAAAGGTGCACAAGACAACAGTAAGTAAATTAAACCTTTTAACGTTGCAATTCAAATGAATACACAAATAAGTACTTTTTGAAGAGAGATATTTAAAGCAATCCAGCATATGAACCTGCTGATGACTTCTATTGTCACCCTCTCGTTGGTTGCACTTATACACCCATGCTTGAATACCACTCAAATCTATTACTTCATAAACATTTTGTTTCCATTATACTTAATTAAAGAAAAGTAGATCTTTGTACATCCAGACATTTACACACACAAACACCTATTGTTTGTCAAGTAAGTAATAATAATTTAGGTCGGGGAAAAGCATTAAGATGTGTGCAACATGTTCCTGAAAGCTTAAGAGGATCACATATAGTGATATAAAAATTAATAAAATCCAGTACAAGCAGATATTAAAAAATATGGACTACATAAGAGTGCTAGACAATATGATTAAGGCAAGTACAACTACCACAGGCAAGCGGAGCTCTGCTCTGCTCTCTATAGGATGTGAGATATTGTTGCCCAACCTATCGTAAGATTTATTGTGACAGCTCTCATTTTCAAGATATTGGAACGGATTTGATGAAACACTCGACCTCCCAATATCACCATTTACTACCACTTTGGAAGGGCTAGCATTCATGACTGATATTTTCTTGATTTTCTTTTCTTGGACCTGAAAAAATGAAGATGAAAATGAGCAGATAATTCAAAAACTTCCAACTTAAAGCTGCAAAACGAACCACAACTCACAAGGAAGAACGGCTGAATGAGTCATTTTAATTAATATAAGGATCCACAACAAAAAAATGGATAAACTTAAAAGAACAGAAGCTTCACATTGAAAGAGATTACCCACCTTCCAAAACTTAATAGTTTTATCATTAGTGGATAGAACAAAAAGGGCACCATTAGCGGCTTGACACCACCGAATCTTGTTTATTTTCTCCTCTATCTCCAGACTCTTGAGATAATCAAACTGCATGCAAAACAGACAAAACAAAAAAAAAATACAATTCTAATCCCTTGCCAAAAGATACCACTTCAAGATAATAATATGAACGACCTTGCATCAGAAAGTTGCCCCTGTGAATTTCAAAAGCTTTGAAATGGTCAACTGCATAAGTAAATTTGGTTCAAATGGGAACACTCAAATCTTTTGGCAGCACTGATGTAGAAAACTGTAATTTCTAGACAGTTGTTTGAGTTTTCTGAAAGTTCATACACCAGACTTTTGTAATAGACATGGTTGCTTAAAGCAGTTAGTTGGGTAGGTGACATTAAACTTATAGTACCAATCAATTGTATAAAATAAAGCTATGTTGCATGGATTCTTCAAATAAGTGTCACTTTCCATCCCTGAAACACTCTCCTTGGGTGCTTGGGGACACCCCAACACATAAACCCTTCGTAAAATTTGGAAACCTTGGTGTTTCCATGGTACCGACCCCGTCCCCATCTAAGTTACTGTCTACAACTTGGTGCAACTTAGAGATAAAGAAACACTATAAAGTGATGCAAAAAGCACAGTGGCAATGTTTTATGAGGGGTGTTTCTGTCTTAACATTCATATAAAGGAATATAAATGGAATATGTCATGAGACTGCAATGAGCTCATTCAGAATTCATTCAGGAGAAAGTTCGGAGTGGTCTACCACTCAAAGGATGTTTGGATGAAACGATGTAAACCACTCTCTGGACGGTTGTTTGGATGAACTATAGATGCATTTCACCACTCGTCCACTCTGATTGCACGAGTTCAACTGAGAGGGTACGGTTCTAAGGAGAGCATCTATTACAGTGGTCCAATCACAAATACCAATCCAAACTCCTTGTCACCCATCAGAAGGCTCTCCCAAACACATTCTAAGGCAACAAGGTGAAAACCAACATTTGGGCATTGGAGGGGGGGTGCTGACATGGATAACAATGAAAATTTTCATACCTCAGGTTCATGGCTTTGAAATTCTGTCTTGTACCGGAACTCTGGATGCCGACTAACATGATAGTCCATCATTTCTAATTCTCTTCGACTTCCAACAGGCTGAAAAGTACATATATAACGGATAGATAAAAGAACAACACTGAGTACATCAAATCACTCCATTTTTAAAGAAAAAGGTAAAATTAGCTTTCCAGTTATTCCCGGTGCACCAGTGGGGTCCTGCAACTTTAACAACTTTGAATGAAACATATGAAATCAAGTAATGCTGCAATTAAGTGATTTTTATGTTTGCAATCAGAAGTCATTGCTAAACTAGTTAGTATTCATGCCTTTTTTTGAAGAAGTGGCATCAACAAGATGATGACAATGTATATTATATCCCAGTTGCCACCACCAGACTCAACTCTGGTGAAAATATCACTGTGGCCACCTTCTACTCACTACATTTGTGAAATCTAGGAAAAATAGAAGCAAGAACAACACAGAGAACTGAGGATACTACTACCACCAAAACTCAATATCTGGAATGCTCCCTCTCCATTTCAAATCTGTCCACTGAAGTTTGTAATCGGATCTCTTTCTTCTATATCTTGAAAAAACAAAAATTTAATGCATGTATTTTGATTTTAAACTTCTCTCTCTCTAATATAACTCCAATATCTTCACCTCATTTATTGTGTCTCCTTCTTCACTAATGTCACACAATCCCCAGTCAAAGCATGCTTCCTAAACCCCTGCACTCGACACTAAATCTCTAATTGTTACACCTTCTCACTGTTACAGCCACCAGCGGCCATGTAACCCACACTTCTCTCTGCTGCTCTGCTTTTATTTGTCCATGATTCACCACACTGGGAAAGGAAAGAAAAAGAAGCAGAAAAAACATAAAAGGAAAAAAGAGAAGTATGTGATGAGCTGGCAGGTTTAGGCGGTTATTTGGTTATGATTTGGCCAGGATTAGGTGGTGATGCGGTGACCTGAACGTCACAAGCTGGCTACAGGTAAAAACGGTTTAACAGCATTATTGTTAATTTTATGAAGATCGATATCTGCTTTGAAAAGACTTGGAGGGCTTATTTCACCCTTTTCCACAAAAAAATCAAAATTAAAAAACTACCTCCTTTGTATCTGTCCTCTCAAATAATACCACTCTACCCCCACGGTCACCAGTAGCAAGATGGTCACCAGTTTTATCAAATTCAATGGCAGAGATGATATCAACTGCATATCAATGAGAAGCAACATATTTGAGTTTCTCATCAAATCAAATTTCTACAAATTAAAAAAACATAACATAGATGTTTGCAGAAATCAAACAACACTGTAAAACTGCAGATCTTGTCGGGATTCTTTCGTAAAATTGCGCCATATGAGCTCTTGATTTAATTCATTGCATAAATTATATCGGTTTCTACATTAAGTACAAAACAGAAAATATCTTCAAGACTCTTCACTGGTCTCAGAGACTGAAGTACTGCTAGTGAACTATGAATACACCACAGATAACTTTGGCCATTGTTTGGATAAGATGTTCAACCGCTCAACTTATTTATTCATTCATTCTTTGTGGCTAAAAGAGTGAAGTTTAGGCAATTTATAGGCAGATGTGTCAAAGCTGGAGGGGAGAATGAGAGTGAAATAAATACAAATACACATGCACGAACCCTCACTTTTTATACAAGTTAATGTTACACAAGCTCTATGAATTAGCACTAGGGACGGGGCATAGAACAAGATCGAAGGGAGAAAGAGAAATACTCCCTCCGTCCCAAAATGGATGTCATGATCCATTACTCATGGGTAAAACTTTATCTTCGTTCTTTGCCTATTTTGGTGACTCATTTGGTAAAATAATATGGTCATGTCACTTATTGTCTTGTAGATCTTTTGATGTAGATTTTAAATATATGAATTTTATTTTTAAATTTCATACAAATATTTAAATAAAATTGAATTGAAATTAATTTTAGTTAAACATTGTTAACCGTAAAGTGACATCCATTTTGAGACGAAGGGAGAATGAATATCAATAAGCAAGCACATGTAAACTCCATTTCATGGTTTGATAATACAGTTAGCCTTTAGCCATCAGCTTGAAAAATAACAATTTAAACTAGAAGCAACAGCTTACATTAAAGCCATTGCCACTTGAATTCACAATTCAAACCATCAAAAAATTGCATTATAGTATGGTATTCAAGAGAGTGGGCATAGAGCAACCCTTGTGAATAAGATAGAAAGGTGAAACAATCAGCGGAGAGGTCATATTGGTGTTTAAATAAGAGGACATTTATGCCTAGCTCCAGCACCAATGAGCTTAATACATACTCCGCAACACTCTTCTAAGGCAAGACAAAATCAATTGAAAAGAGGTCCGGAAAGAAATCCAAAACTCTCAGTTTTCAAAAATCAACCCAACCGCATAAGGGGAGAGGGGGAGAAAGACATTGAGTTTAACTATAAGCTAAATTAGCGTCAATTGAAAACAGCTGATGCCTCTTATAGATTAATCAAAGAACACATGCAAATAAGGCAATCAACCAAACACTTAAATCCAACTTGAAAACTAATCAGCTACTTGAATTAGCGAAAGAAGATCAGATAAGAAGCAAGGAACAACAAACTCTAGTCAGCGCAATAAAACCAAGCAGACTAAGGATCGGAAGGCACAAACCATGGGCATAGAGCTAAGAAATATACATATATATATATGTATACCTTCCTGTACCTCCTCTCCGGCAGTACGTTCCCCGAACACCTGCGAAAATTTCCACTCCAGAGGCTGGGGCGGTCCGCCGGAACCGGAAGCCTGGACACCCACCCCTCTCAGGCCACCATCACCGCCGTTAATCATGGCCTCACTCAGAATCAAACGCAACAAGAGCAACAGGCCGGGGGAAAATCGGTATTACAAGAGAATCTCGAGAGAGAACAGAAAGCAGACTCTCGTCGCAAGCTGCTAGACCACTAATCTCACTTCCACCAAAACAGAAAAACAAAAAGAAGTTAAATATAAAAAAAAAACTAAATCGCCTAGAAAGAGGCGGTCTGCTTCACAGAGAAGATGACGTCGGATTCGGATTCAACCATTAGGAGTCCAAGAAGCCATCAACAGCGACGCATGGCCTCCAAGCACCACCACCAGATTGAGATTCTCTCTCTCTCTCTCTCCCTATTTCTATCTCTATCTCTCTTTCTCTCATGGAATATGGGGCCGAGGACAAGAATGGAAATCTGGAATGGAGCTAATGAGCAAAGCAAACCGTTCGTTGCCTTAATGAGAACCAAGCCCAAAACTCTCTCTCCTCTCATTTTCTTTTAACGAGAAAAGAAATGAAGGATATGACATTTTCTTGTCCCAATTACATGGGTGAGGTGAGCCACCAAAATTTGCACTCCTCCCCCAAAAAGCATGCACAGTTTTTTTTGGTACAAAAAAGCATTTACAGTTTAATGTCCCTAACATGAAAAACAGAGTAACTAATTGGGCTAAAAATTGTTATGGTACGTCTAGTACACGGAATTGACATAATTGAAATTGAATTAAGAGTTAAGTTCTTTTGAAGTGATTTAAAAGGATTTGATTCTTCAATTCTAATTTATTTTTGACATTATTAATTTCAAATCTATAACTTGGTGCTACCAAACAACATAATTGGAAATATTGTCCTCAAATGAAAATGTCCATTCTTTGTACTCCCTATCATAGTACTTTTTTAAAAAAATCATACTCCTATTTAAATTTAAAAATTTGACACCAAGTGATATATACAAGCGCGCGCACACACATATATAGTTATTGTTTGTGATGCATAGACAGTTATTATCTGTATATATTTTTAAAATACTGTGACAAACTTGATAGTTTCTAGCATTTTTGTTAGAGTATATGCATAAAGTCCTTTCCGTTTTTTTCTATACTTTTTCACGCAACACTTTTTCATTAAAAAGAAATTCTCATTGAGATAGTGAACAATTACTTATCAATTATCACCATCATTTTTAAGTCTAAAAAATGTTTAGAACCGTCATAACATTTATTTTTTAGTTATATTATTATTCTTGGAAACAACTTCTCTACTTTCAAGAAAAAGTAAAGTCTGCATACGTACAACTTCTCAAGATTCTACACTAGTGAGCTTCAATTGTGTTACTGTTAATTGTTTAATTATATTATTATGTGCAATCGCAATATTTCCTTAATAATAGTGTGATGGCAAATGAAGCTCCTCATGATCAGGTAGTGATTATGCGATGGGGGAAGACCAAGCCCAAAAGGGAGCTCCACTACGAAATCTTTAAATCATAATCATAAAAAAACAATATGGTGTAAAGGGATCAATACTTTCACTTCAAAATTGCCTATTCTTAATTTCAGCATACAAATGCATTATCATCATCATTATTATTATTCTTTAGCTACCACTACAAAACAAGTTTTGGAGTATAATAAGGATCAAAAGGTGGCACATTGGTCATGGCTAGCCTTAAAACTGAGTGTCCTTTGGTTATTTGCTGGAATGCAAGAGTTCAACCCTTTCTGTGTTGTTTAGTGTTGACTCACAGGTTTTGATAATTGACAAACACAATTTATTCAAGTCAAGATTAAAGTGCTACAACGACAATCACGAAGACTTGAAGTGTCATTCCTTGAAGTATTCAAGAAGGTGCACAGAATTTTGTTGAAGTCCGAGACGCGTCCGGAGCGCCTAACGGAAGACTCGGAGGAGTAGAAGTTTTCCGAAGACTTTTTATTTATTTGAGTCTTAGGAATTATTGTAAGGATGAAAAAAATATCTTCTCTCCAAAATTATTTTTATGAGAGTCAAAATAAAAATTATATTTATTTTTGGAGTCAGTTGAAAAATCTTTTTAACTGTTCAAAATAGTTTTATTGAGTCAGTTACAAAAAGTGTGTCAAACATTTATCAAATATTTATTTTGATATTATAAATTATTTTTGGTAAGCAATAATATTTTATTCAAATATTTTTCGTGTACATCGTTTGACACACAAAATAATTTTTGGACTCACTTTTACTCCCTTATTCAAATTCATTGAATAAGAGGAGGAGCGTTCTCTGATTCCCGTTGTCTCAAACAACGAGTGTTACGCCAATTTGCTCTCCATCGCAACTGGCTTGGGCCCTTTGTGTTTTGCCCATTATTTCTTTTGGTAATCGATTATATTTCTCTGTTTAATCGATTAACTGTCGTTCGCATTTCATTAATCGATTATTCCTCTTGTTTTAATCGATTAGTCCTCTCAGAGCCTTCTAATCGATTAATCCCTTTGCATTAATCGATTATTCACGCGATGAAGGAACTCTGCGCAGACTGCATTAATCGATTATTGACACTGCATTAATCGATTATTATGCTGCATTTTTCATCACAGCTTCTTTTCTTGGACCAACGGATATATTCCTTCAACCCCTTTATAAACCTCACTCCTTGGTCATTTTTACTATGAACAAGCACTCCTAAAATCTCCAATCTTGAGGTTATAATCCCCCATTCATTTCTTCCTCAAATTGATATATTTTGAGAGAAAACTAAGTGTTTTCAAGAGAGTGTTCTTGTCATCCGTAGAGCTTAATCTTTTCTCATTTCTACTCTTGTGAGAGTTATTGCTGAGAGGTTGAAGAAGATTATTCTTTTTGTTGTTCAAGGCTTATGTGATTTAAGTCTTGGTTGTGAAGTTTTGTAGAGGGCATATCTACGAGCGGTTGTGTCGAGGCTTGTGGGATTCAAGTTCTCGAGTTTTAAACGGTTTGTTAAGCACCCGTAAGCTTAACGAAAGTAGTGGTAGCTTCGAGAGAGTCTCTCGGGGAACTGGACTAGCCACGAGGTGGTGAACCAGTATACATCGGTGTGTTCTTTGCCTTCTCTCTTTTATTTCCGCTGCACTTACGTTTATATTATTAATCCTGCGAAAATCGGTAATCATTCTCAACAACTCTATTCACCCCCCTCTCTAGAGTTGCATGCATTGTCTAACATTATTGTCTACAAGGTCATAGTAGAGAACATGGTCCATCTGCGACTTCACCCCGAAGATGGGCATGTTAATGTCGTCCGTCTCCGAAACCAGCGTCACACACACCACCCCATTCCCCCATTCCTCGTACACGCCCTTCGGCGAAAGCTCCACGTCAGCATTCCCCGCGAAATGCGCCACGATCCTCGGACGCCGCCCCACTTCCACCCCTGATTCATTGTAACACAACTGCCCGTACTCGTTCTTCGTCATTGGCGCCCCAATTGCTTTCCTCATCTCCTTCTCAAACGCGTCGTAAAGCTCAAATGGGAGGTACGTGTAATACGTCCCGGTGTCCGCGACAATGGTCGCATTCCCAAACCAATATGTGTGCAAAGGCTTCTCTAGCAATAGTCTTTTGTTCCCCACGCTCAAAGTCTCGAGCGTGAGCCAATACCCAAAGTTACCTATTATTCTCGCAGCTGACAACACATGGAAAGTCTTTATAATACTTCCCCCGTCTCAAAAAGTTTTACATATTTTGACTAAAGTAAAAATTAAGGGAGAGATAGTTTTGTATTGACTTTCCAAAAATAACATTGATTTGATGTATAAAAGTAGGATATGATGTGTAGATTATAAGAAAAAAAGGTATGATGTGATAGGTAGGGTTTGAAAAAGTAAGAGATAAAAGTGATTTTTTAATAGAATTGGATAGAGGATTATGTGACGCAATTTTTTTTGAAAGGTGTAAATCTTTTTGAGACGGAGGGAGTATTTATTAAAGAATATTACTCTTCCACTGAGAGAAATCAAAACACAGTGTTTCAAAAATAAAATACTCCTTCTGTCCCATAGTATTTGTCCACTCTCATTTTTACACATCATCCAATGCACTTCTTTAATTCATTTTATCTTGTAATTTGTATATTAAAAAATTATAGAAATTATATATTAATAATTTACTTCCTCCATCCCACTATATTTGTCCACTTTCATTTTTTGCACAACATGCAATACACTTCTTTAATCTATTTTATCTTGTAATTTGTATATTAAAAAATTATAGAAGTTATATATTAATAATCTATATATTAAGACAAATCAAACAAGATCATGCATAACTATATTTAGGCTTACACATTGAGAAAATTTGATGAGTCAAAATGCTTAGATGAACAGTTCTAAAAGTCAAAAGTGGACGAATATAGCGGGACGGAGGGAGTATATGTTAAGACAAATCAAACAAAATCACACATGACTATATTTAGGTTTACATATTGAGAGAATTTGATGAGTTAAAGTGTTTAGATGAACAGTTCCAAAAGTGGGGGAGGAAGGGAGTATATAGGAAGACTTGACCTCTTTTTCCATACCTACAGAGCTATCCAATGGAGTGGAAACGACGCCGTACGGATATGGGATCATGGCATCGGGGCCGAATGCAATGCGGGATGAGATGTTGGGTGAGGATGAGAAGCAGTGGGCGAACTTCCCGGCTACCTGCGAGCGAAGCTGTCCGATGATGGAGAAGGAGGCAAGGCTGAGCCCCATGATGCCGGAGACGGCGCCCTGGAAGCCTTGGTCGCTACTATTGTGGGCACAGCCGAAGATGACGTCCGGGAAGGAGATGCCACCGAGGGAGAGAGTGTCTGTGGCCACGTTCCCTTCGGTGTACGTCTTCCCGATGTATTCGACCAGAAACTGGCAAAGGCTCCGGCCGTACAAGGTATAGTTATGGTTATCACAATAGAAACCACTGGTGTAGGCGCAGAAGGTGGAGTTGCATACAAAGGGCTTGTAGGAGGAGCTCCTCGTGGCCGGTCAAAGACGGGCGTGTTTTGCGGGAAGCAGTTGGTGCATGGGAGGCACTACGTCCACGTCAGATCGCTTCCCGTGTCTATCAGGACGGCGGTTTCCACGGGCGGCGTGCCGACGGAGAAATGTCGTGCAGTTAGAGGGCAGGTTGCGACTGCAGTGCCCCGTCTCAATCGGCTTCAAAGTTAAAAGTTGCTTCAGATTCATCTACAATTTCATGTGAGTTCTTACTTCAGCTTAGTTAAAACTCTTTTATGAACAAATTTCCCTATTTACAACAGCAACAGGAAAAGTATTCCCGCCAAAACTACTACCCAAATGGTCAGCGGGCAACTTGACCTATCAACCGCCCACTTACCGCTAATCTCTCTCTATCCATCTATCTACCGAGTATTACTTCAGGATTTCTCAACCGCTCACTTTTCTCAACCCATCGCACCTCTGGGTCTTCAACCTCCTCCATAAAACTTTCCCCTCACGCCGTCTTCAACACCTATCGCTTCATCTTTCTTGCTGCGGTTGATGGCTAGAAGACCGCTGGTTAGTTGGTGGAAGTATATGGATCTTTCTATCGGCGTTTTTCAGACACTTACCCAACCAGAGAACGAGGAACCGAAATCAGGAAGATGGTAATAACCTTTTGTTCTTTCTATTCTAATTTCTTTATAGTTAAACTAGTATTAAGATTAGGAGATTTTTGGAATTTAGACATTTTAGTTTTTTGGTGGAAGGCATCCATGGCGATGATAGTGATAGGTCAGATCTTCATGGTTTCCCGTGACAATTGGTGAGGCTGGCTTCTTTGGCAAACGGGAAGAAGAAGGGACAAGATTCAGGTATCATCTCCTAAATATTTGTGAAATTATCTTATTTTTTGCTAAATGTCTAGAAAATTTTGTAGGTTAGAAAGATAATATGCCTATTTGCTAAATGCTTACAACAAACTAATAGAATGTAAAGATACCATTTTATCTGATGTGTTCGTTGCAGAGTAGACAAAGAAATTGTGACTGAAAGATAAAACTATTTACATGTCTATCCTAAAATAGAGACATCAGAGTGCAGCTATTGTTTCAACATTTCTACTTCACAAACTTATACACCATTAAGTTAGTAAGCTTATTGTTGTTTGATTTGTTAACAATTCAGTTGTTATTTTAGAATATGAATACGAGGAAAGAGTCATTAAAACATCTTAAGAATCATTCCTAGATAGTGTCAAGGACCTTAGTTAAACTTTTGTAGTTGTATTTGGAATTCTTGAATAAAGCTAATGTCTATTGTTGTTTTCCTTGAGAGTGTTGGGCATCTTAGTGTTTTGGGTAATGCTGAGCAACTTAGTGAAATTGTATACTGCATCCAACTTTGTATATAAGTCTATGTCAAATCCTATTCAGGTAGCTCTATGGCTCTTAGATGATCTATATAATAGTTTCTACTATAACCTTTAATGGCTTTTAGTCTGTTTGATCAATAGTTATGATAGTTGGATGGCAAGATATGTGGGTTCATGTTTTTTTATTTCCAAGTAGGATAAATGATTGGATGCAATACGGGTCACCATGGTCAATTAGCGATTTTAATTAAAAAATATATATTCAATTTGCTTATCATATACTATAAGTCATTCGGAGAATATAATGTCCAATGGTGTAAAATTCAACGTGTAGGGGTTGGGAACATTTTGTTTATAAACATATGAAGAAAAATTTATTAGCATAGAGAATTATTCCCACTCACTTTGATTATTTGTTATAGTAACTATTTTGAAGTGCTTGATTGTTTACATTCTCATTCAACTATTGTCATTTATTATGGAGTAATTTCTATTATTGCATTTGTGCAGGCATCTTGATTGGAGGAAATGAATCATAATAGCCATACATGCAACATTTGGGATAGAATACTTGCATTAAAAAAGCATACTTTTTTTATTCGAAATGTGACAAGTTAACATTGATTGTTGGTGATGTATTATTTATCGTCAGGATTATTTTTTTAGGATCATTTTTCCTTTCTATTATATTATTTTGTACCTCAATGAGAAGCCTTTTTTCATTTGAATATTCTCTCAAGTTTTCCATTTTATATTCTTTGATAACCTCAATTTTGAATGGTGGTTACAATAGAAAGCTTTTTTCCAATTTTTTTTTTAAATTTATAATTTTGTTTGTTTAGTGCTAGCAATTGGAAAATTTTTACATTAGTATGTGTAGAATGTACTACCAAAAAGAATATATTTTTTCTAATTGTCATTGCACTTTTTTAGGCAATGTGGTAACATTGTTATCATTGCACCTTTTTCTCATGACAAAGAATACTCAGTCTTCTATTTTACAATTAATTATTATTTAGATAAAATTAAAAATTTCTTATTTTTTAGAAAATAAATTTTCTTGCACAGGTCAAAAATCTAGTTAGGGGAAAACGGAAAAGTTGGGAGCCAAATCCGAATATTCTCGCGCACATTCACCAAGCGAAACCGAGGCTTGACCGTCGGATCAATATACCATCCATCCGTCCGTGTCCTAGACTCCTCATAGGAGTAGTAGTAATGAAAATGGGGAGAAATCCAAAATCCACACGTAATATTCCATTGGCATCTTCTCCAGATATCCCTCCCTCCCTCCCTCTCAGGGCCACCTTTTTTCAATCTCGGCCGGTCTCTGTATAAATAGTCTCCTCCGTCTCAATCCAACAAGTACAAAGTACAAACCCTCCTCCTCCTCCTCCTGCAGTGCTCCTCCCTGATTAATGGCGGCCGCCGGCAGAGTTGTGGTGCTCTTCGACTTCGACAAGACGATCATCGACGTGGACAGCGACAATTGGGTCGTCGACGAGCTGGGTTTCGCCTCCTTGTTCCATCGCCTTCTTCCCACCATGCCCTGGAATTCTCTCATGGTTACTAATTAACTAACTAACTACATTCACTTGCTCTTTCTTCTTCTTCTTCTTCTTCTTAATTGAACAAACCCAACATCTGATTAATTAAAACCCTGTTCTTGTGGGCATTTTGATCGATTTGCAGGATACGATGATGAAGGAGCTCCGCGATCATGGGAAGACCGTCAACGACATCGAACAAGTCCTCAAACGTATTCCAATTCATCCCCGGATCGTCCCTGCCATTCGGACCGCTCATGCCCTAGGGTAATCCATCATCTTCATCAATTGATTTATTGCGTCCAATTCCATGGTTTGAATTGAAATCCGTGTGTTTCTTTTGCCTCTTATTATTCCTCATAAGGTGCGATTTGAGGATTGTGAGCGACGCAAACCTTTTCTTCATCGAAACCATACTGGAACATCTCGGGATCAAGGAATGCTTCTCGGAGATCAACACGAATCCCGGCTTTGTCGACTCAGAAGGTCGTCTCAGAATATTTCCTTTCCATGATTTCCACTCTTCTCCCCACGGGTGCAACAACCGTTGCCCTCCGAACATGTGCAAGGGGAAGATCATAGAGAGGATACATGGAGAATTGGGAATGGAGGGAAGGAAGAAGAAGAAGATGATGAGGATGGGGATGATCTATCTGGGCGATGGGAGTGGGGATTTCTGTCCGAGCTTGAGGCTGAGAGAAGGGGACTTTATGATGCCCAGGAAAGGTTTTCCTGTGTGGGAATTGATAAACCAGAACAGGGCTTGTTTGGAAGCAGAGGTTCATGAATGGAGTGATGGGGAGGAGCTGGAGAGTGTTCTTCTTCAACTCATTAACAGGATCTGCTGCGCTCAAGAAGAGAGTCAATTTCCTCTGCAAACGGATGATGATTTTAAGTTCCAGAAGATGGAGTTGCTTAAAGCTATCCCTGTGCCTTTCTAGCTGGGAAATAGTAGCTTTTGAGTTTTTGTGTTTGATCAAGAAAAAAACAAAGTCCATAAACCCACCCATTTCATATCATCTTGTCCATTGGCTTTCACTTTTTATAATGAGTATATTTTGAATACAATGAAGCTAAAAATATGTTTGATCTTAATATACCGGTTAAAGCTCATCAAACCAAACTATATGATGCTTAAACCGAACCACATTAAAAATTGAATCTAATCGATTACTACCTCGATTCAAGAGCTCATAAACCCATTATCTTTATCTTTTCAAGCCTATCGGTTTAAAAAACTGAAAAGAAACCCTCGAAAAAGCTTATAATTTTGCCCTCCTAATAAAAACCTAAATTTAAATAATATTAATACTATTAAATATCCTACTCTACTCTCCATAAAGAGTTTTGTTTTAGTTATTTCCAAACTTGTACTCCACGTGTACTATATATTTCTTTTTATTAGACTTTATATGATCTCTCTTGTCATATTTTGACCACTAATATATTTCTATTTATATATAAACATAGATTATAAAAAATAACATTTCAAAACTACGTTTTGAAATAAATTTATTGATATTAAATTCATATCACAATTTAATATATTTTTCTCATAAATTTATGATCAAAATATAAAAATGTTTATTATAAAAATTAAGATGAGAAAAAAAAGGAAACATTCACATGAATATTCTAAGAAATATGTGATTTTACGTTAATACCTTGAAACTAAATAATTGACACCATTGCTCCTCGAAATTTCTCAATTTTACACCAATACTCCAGATTGTCAACTAAGTTGAATACGCGACATTTTAAATGGTGACTAGATAATTATTAAGTATAAGTTGGAAATTAATTACAAAATAAAAAACCTTGAATGCGTTATAATTACTCCCATCCATGTTGAATTAAAATAAAAAAGTTGTTAAAAAATGAAAATTAAAGTGTTTATATTTTAATCAGATAAATTATGAGTAGTGTATGAGAAAAAATTAGAGAATTTTAAAGTTGATAAAGTCAATAATTTTTATTTTAAAGTGTCAGAATTCTTTATTTTAATCTAGAAACATTATTTTCCATTATTTTTTATCACTCCGTAGTTACTAACACATACGTAATATTTAATAACTTACAGTCATCATTAAAAAACATCACGTACTTTGCTTAGTTGAAAATTCGGAGTATTGGCATAAAGTTGAGCCATTTCTGAGAACAATAATGTGAATTACGGAGTATTAACGTTAAATCATAAATTTTTTGGAGTATTCGTGTAGATTTTTCTATAAAAGAGGAAAAAGGAGCGCTCACTTCTTTCTCAAAAACATATCTTCTTTCATTTTTTTCTATTCAACTAAAACATATTTTCTCTTAATAAAAACCTACTTAAACCATGACTGATGGTGTAAATTACTTGACCGATCAAACTATACTAGACCGGGTCTAGAATAGTTTGCTTGATTTGGCAAAGTAAGAAAGGTAAAAACACGCAGATTGACTGGTAAGACTTTAGGTGGAACACCTGTAGCCCAATCTATATTATAACGGAGAATGCACGGGTGCTTTTACAAGGGAGTTTAGAGAGAATGAATTCGGATCCCTCTTTCTGAGGTTTACATGAGTATTTATACTAGGTTATGGGGGACAAGACCACGTGCGCCCACGTGGGGGCATGCTGCTGATGTGGTGCGAGGTGACTGGTTTCGTCCTCGTGCTGCCTTGTCGCCTTGTGAGGGGTATCATTCCCTTTGTCGAGTAGTGCCTTGGATGGATTCTTCAGCATCTCCAGTTGTCCTCTACTGACATGGGTCGCTACACGCCAAGCCCTCTTAGATTCTTTTCTGCCGACACTTTCCAACCCTAGAAACTACACCGGGTAATCTCCGTGGGATGAGATCATCGAAGTTAGGGAAAAAAAGGGTGACCAAGTAGTTTGACCGGTGTACTTTTTTCGTGAAGTATACCGGTCATCTTTTGGCCGATTACATATCGATTTGCTGACGATTTAAGTTTCCCTCCCAAAACTTTCGAGATTGACCGGTCAACTAATTGGTCTCCTCCTTTGACCAGTCGTGGGTGGAATACACCCATCAATGACTTTTTCTTACGTTACATATAACATGATATTTTTTTTAATAATCTATCTATCACATGAAAAATAAAATTAAAAGTCAACTACAATTTTTAGCTTCTTTATTTTGCCATTTAGTCAAAATAAAAAATGTTTTAAAAAACGGAGGGAGTAATAATAAATATGTTAATGGAGGGAGTATATTTTAGTAGTAGCTCTCAATTATTGTCAATTCGATTATACGTGGTCTCCACTGTCGGGGCCGAGAGATTCCAACATGTTACTTGCTCGAATTTGGTCATTATTAGTCACTAATAGTGATCACAAGCACATCCGTAATTCATTCATTCGATCGTTGTTAAATTGAACTACAACTCTATACCACTTTCAATAAAGTCTCACCTTTTGTTTTGGATTTAGTTTGAAAAATATACTTACGACTAAAGATCGCACAATCGAGATGATATGACCCATATGACCATATGGGTAATAGAACGGGTAAAATAAACCTTTTATTCCTTTATTTTTGCTAAATAAAAAAATTCATTTAAAGTAAATATATTTATTTTTGTAAAATGGTTCTTTTGACTTTAGAACCTCGGGTCATATTATGATCAGGGCCCTTACGGTGCTCCATTCCTACACTTACGGGTCCTATTGAAGTTTCTATTTCAATATTTTTTCTATGTTTTATTTTTATATAGGATGATTTCTCAAAGAAAATGGATGGACCTATCTGCAAGTCTTGGAACTACGAGACGAGAACGTAATAAGAAGATTGTCGGGAATCGAACTCACATATTAGCTTTTAAATACGGAGTAGTAATTAAACACCCATCGTCTTACTCACAACTCAAGAAGAATATGCCTTGCATTTATTTTAAAGGTGGAACACCCACCTCAGACACTTCAATCGGACAAAATTGTGAGGAAGTAAATAATGATGATGGACAATAAATCCACCAAATGATCCGATTTACAGAGCGGATCGCAAGAACAAAATTAAGAACAAGAATTCGAGAATTGGATGTGTATTACTAGCTTGATTTAGCTTGAGTTCTCCCCTTTCGGGTCCCTTCTATTTATACACGAGCTCTCAACAATTAAGGTGAAGCATAACCGATGGAGTCTAGCCCGCCAAGGGCGCGATCCCCTTTTCCCGGCTCCGTAACGGCCAATCAGCTCCGTCTCCTTCTCCGGACTGACTCTGCCAGCTGCGCTTGGCCTGAGGTTAACTAGGCCCAGCTCCTTGGGCCGGC